GAGGGGAGGGAGGGAGGGAGGGAGGGAGAGAGAGAGAGAGAGACATACATGTGCAACTGGACTATGTACTGAGGAGCACGCTGCCGCTGGGGCGGCTGCAGCGGAGACGACGGATTGCCTAAGGTTGACCCAGCGGTGTGGCTCTCCGAATGGGGTGAACCCATCGCGTCGTGCCACGCCTCGGCTTCTTTGGCAGTGACCGCACGCCAATGGGCCTTGGAGTCACAAGAGTAATGCTAAGCGCCAAATTCCCAGCACATCCAACTCTAGTAGCTTCTTGTTACTAGTAGTAATGCCAGGAGCCCCTAGTAGCGTCCTTGCTCCTAGTAGCGATGCCCTTTGTTCCTAGTAGCTTCTTGTTACTAGTACCAAAGGAAATTTCACCACTAGACACATTCCCACAGGACACCTTTGGTGCTTCTGCTCACGACACTCCGAATGTATCACCGTGCAGCGCTTGAAAATACTAAAATATATAGCACTCCCATCAGCTGCATACTGCGACGCATGAAGATGCAAAGCGTGCATTGCGTCATGCTTCCCCAAGCTTTGGGCGAGTTCACTTTGCAGGTGAAGCAGGCGAGCAATTCAATAATCAACCCCATCTGGCGTGTTTGTTCGCATACCAGCCACCTTGTTCATGGTGCTGCAAGCGTTCCTCTGAATCAAGGTCGCCGTAGCCACACTCATAGCCACCAGAGTTACGACTCTCACCTTTCCCGGCACCTCCGCCTTTACCTTTCATTTCTTTCAAGTACCCAGCACTGTTGGCCTTCGTGCAGCGATATGTAAAGTGAGCCCCCCCACAGACTCGGCAAAACGTGTCTTGAAGCCTGGCTTCAACTGAATCCAACAGCTCCTGGGCCATTCGCACTGCCTCTTGCAGCAGAGGTAGGTCATCATGTTCAATCAGCAAGTGCATGGGCGCGTCTCCTGCACCATCCTGTGAAATACCAGAACCCTGGCCACGAAGCCAAAGATAAGCGCCAGTGCTCTCATGGATGCGCTTGAAATTTTGACCCCGTTTGCCCAACAAGTGTGCGTTCAAACTGTCAAAATCTTGTCGGCCTCTTGCAGAACTTCCAAACTCCAATTCAATCTTCTGCCGAAACTGAAAGTCGTAGCCCGGGGGAGGTGGGTCATCGTAAGGAGTCCAAGAAGTGACCCGATCGATCAAATCATGCGCCATTCGCACGGCCTGCGCGAGTGCTTCTTCGGTCTTGCATTCAATCCTCATATGGAGAGGTTCACTTGCATGCAGTTCTCCAGAACCAATGCCGCACATTCGGATCAGTGCTCCAGTTGCTTCCTTGATTGGCTGCACATTTCGCCCACCACTGCCGATGATAAAGCCAACATTGGCCGTGGCATCCAGAAAAACACGCTCTACACAGGGAAGGCGAATGGTAAGGCAGTCTCGGCTCTTGTGATCTCCTCCGCAATGGGCACACTCTGGAATGTCTGTCCCCAGAACTTCAACAACCTTCTGGCATGCCATGGCTAAGGCCTTTTCTACACTCACCTCACTGCCTCTAATCAATAAGTGGTTTGCTTCGTTGGTTGGTCTGTTGGAGTCCTTGCCGCAAAGATGCACTTTGGCATGGCTGCGTTTGGACAGTTCCAACAGGTTGCATCCTCGTTTGCCAATCATCCGGGAAATATGGGAACGGGTAAAGCCAGGCATTGTCAGCATCAGCTTGGCTTCAAAGTGACTCTCACGGATTATCCTGAAACCTTCCTGAGAATAGCCCGCCTGCGGCCATGTGTCCTCAGCCTTGCATGCCTCGAACTGATCACTCTGTGGCCACGTGTCCTCTAATTTGCACGCCTGGAACTGATATCGGCCCGTGTTGAGTTCTGCATCTTCAGCACCGTTGGCATCTTCGCTTTTGCAGCTTCCCAGCTGATCAGCTTCCCAGCCGTCGGCTTCGTAGCCCATGCGCTTCTCACACTTGGAGCTGGGCTTGGGCGGTGCACATGAAGGCTTGGGGCGTTCCGCGTTTTCGAGTGGAAATCGCTGCATGGCCCAGAGCTGCACCAAGGGTCTAAATTTATACTAAGCTAAGATGGAACATGGACATGCAATATGCAATGTACACATTGCGATGTAATATGCGGTGATATGTTCAGTGATATGATATGATGTACTATAGTGCCGTGACCAAATGCTATCTTTAAACATCCGGAACATTAAATAGCTCCTGCAGTGGAGTGGGAGACTCCTCAGCTTGATCACCTTATCTCCCTCCCAGCTCTTTTCTATGCTGATTTCGACTTTCAACTACGGTGATCCCATAAGTAGCATGCTGCTGCGCTCGAGAAGCGGCCAACGAAGCATACTAACAACATGTGAGTGCTTCCACATGACATTAGCAGACTTCGTCTGTATCCTCTCACGGACCCCAAGACTTGCATTCATCGAACAGCGTGCGAACAGCCGTCATTTACCCAGCTCTGAGAAAAGTCTCAGCCCTCCACGCAATACCAAGGCATGCAAGGAACTCAGCATTTTCCTGAGCAGCAGCCTTGTAGGCGTCAAGGCGGATCACCTCCTAGCGGCTCGGGATTCCTTTCTCTCTCTCTCTCTCTCTTTCTCTCTCTCTCTCTCTCTCTCTCGACCGTCTTCACACAGAAGTCCGCCCGAGATGACAAATGAAATTGATGTTTACGATGATGCTCAATGATGTTCTACAAACAGTGTCTCGACATGTGTTAACAGTGTCCTCCCCATCTGTTTCAGATGCGAGATCATGGAAGAGCCGCTTGACTTCCTGTGGCTGTGGCAAGTTTGCCAGCTACAGTATCGGAGCTTGACCTTGAATCAGCTCGTTTTACGCCATAAATTGGCTGCAACAAAAGCAAGGGCAGAAGAAGTAGGAAGCCTCTTCTGATGTCAAACGCCTAGGATGCACCCGCATGCACAGTACATCTTCAAAATGAGATGCAAACCCATCGCTGTGATGGCCATCTTTCAGGCTAAAACCCTGTGGGGGCCACCAAGGACGACCTCATGGCTGTGTGTATGTGTGCCAAGGTTCAGATGTCAGAGAATGACAAATGCAAAAAATCATAAGACCATACAACAAAGAAAACCAATTACAGGATCCGGCATCATGTGATTGCAGGAAGCTACCTCACAAGCTTGATGGAATTGCCATCAATGATACAAAATCATAAATCACTGGTTCTCGCGACGACGGGTGTTGAGGCCAAGACCAGATGTTGGAAGTCTTCCAAGTGCAGGCCTTTTGCCTTTCCAAGTTTGTTGATAATTATTGTATAATTACATCGGAAAAACGGGTGCTCAATCAAAGGGTGCGCCTCCTTGTCTCCAGCTACCATTGAGAAGCTGAGCGCCAGCTTTTCATCCTAAACAGTGCACTTCAAAGATATGTTCTATCTAAGCCGCTACCCCACTGCTCCCTTCCACAACAATCACAGAGTCCTCCGTCCCACGGATCATGATGGCCAGCCTCAGTACTGTTGGCAAAATCCTGTGACTTTAAAAGGCGCCCTGATATTTTTGTGTTATTTTTGATATGTGTTTTTGTTGTTGGTGCTGGGGTGGCTGGAAATGCCGATTTCGTGGCAGGCGCGGCACTTTGTGAACCTCGGTGTTGGAATGGCCCCTTCCTTCTCTCAATTTAAGCCTACATGGGCTCAGAAAAGGTACGCGCATGACTTCTTCGTTCTCTGACATCTACCCTCAGGTGGATCACAAAAGGTGTGCTCTGTTTTCCATGGTTCCTTCCTTTAAATGGTGCCCTCATGTGGCTCACAAAATGCATCCTCCATTTCAACCTCTAAATTTTTGCCTTGGGTTGCTCACAAAAGGTGTGCTATGTTGAACTGGCATTCAAAAGGTGTGCTATATTGAAATGGCCTATTCACTATTCCTGCTCAAACTTTTAAATTGGAAAGCTTTCTCCCTTAGATTTGATCTTTGGGACCTCGGGTGGCCATAAATGGCAGTCGAGTTTGGAACGGCCCTTCTTCCACAAGGTACGTTACGTTTGAACCTCTCACAAGGGTATGCTACCTTGTGCGGGTCGCAAGTATGCCACATTTTCATGCCTCCTTTCTTCTTTAAAGTTTACCCTCAGGTGGCTCACAAATGGCCCCCTCCAACTAATAACAAGCTGTCACATGGTCCTTTCTTCCTCTCAAACTTTTCCCCCTGCCTTCGTTCCCTTGTTCCTTCCTTCCTTGACTTTCCCTTTCCCTTTCCTTTTCCTTTTCCTTTTCCATTTCATGTTCTTTTTCCTTTTCCTTTCATTTCCTTTCCTTCTCCCTTGAGTGCCGACCAGGAGAAACAAAAAAACAAACAAACACAAGAAAAAAAACACACACACACACATTCAAAAATGCCCCTCCCTTTAAAGGCATACGTTCTCCATCTTGAAAAGCATCTCCACAAGTATGAGTGTTCGCTATTGGGCTAGTATAATATGATATGAGAAGAGTTCCTGGCGCTGAAGCAAACTCTTCGAAGCTCAGGCGACCATCTTGATTCGAGTCGAACCTCAAAGGTGCAAGCAATCGAAACATGCCAAATACAGGAAGCTTTGAGATGGCATAAGATTTCAGATCATAGTTTGCCACCCTTAGCCCCCAGCACAACAAACATGCGGTCTGCAAGGAAGTGGTCATCAGACAGGCCCATAACTCCCATGGTTTGTTGGAACTGCTGCTTTAGCAGGTAGCCTCGCTGCCAGGTTGCAATCGTTCAGAACTCAAAATCTTGAATGCAATGCTTAAACTACCCCGTTCTGAGCCGAATGATGTGTCTTTTGTCAAAATGTTGGCACATCTTACGCACTGCGCATATTGGTATTGTTGGATGCTGTATATATCATATATCCTTTCCCTTGGAGCATCAGCTTCCAGCAGTTTTTGTTGGATAAGGAGACTCGTACCATCTCTTCACTCAGACCATGGTGGTCCCGTGAATCGTGTGCCTGATGGCGCCAAGCGCCGGAAGCGGGCATACAGCGCCTTGCCAAGGCAACATTGGGCTAAGGAAACAATGGACAAAAACTCACCCAACTCATTCTGGAGAGAGAGAGAGAGAGACAAAGAAGAAGAGTAAAAAATACTCACCAAAACTCACCAAACGCTCCCAACACTGTCCAATGCGGCCTTCACCTCAGTGGGTGTGAGGCTTGTGGATGACGTTATTGCCTGCCAATTGGGCAATGAAACTATGTCAGTAAAAGAACTCCTAAACAGAAATGCAAGTATGTAATTTCAAGCAGCCTAGCTAGTGAAAAGCTACAGATGTTCTTGGGTGCATTCCCTTAGCTTTTGCCGGCCACCGTCAGGTGGAAGTTTAAAGGCAGCTGATGATTCGGATGATGGTTGTGGCAAAACAAAACAAAATTGCATCAGGCACTGGCGGGCTTTTCTGAGCTCTCACCGAGCACGCTTTTGCTGTCACATCCTGTCAACTTCCACCACCTCACTGACCAGCTGCGTACAATGCCTGCGAGGCAGTTGCACCACCTGGAGGGGAGGGCCTGAGATAAAGCTGCAAACTGAAGCAAGAAAGGACTGAAAGAAGAAGAGCAAGAAACTGAAGAACAAAGTGTCTTTTCTAACAACGAAGCATCTCGCTGCAATCGTGTGCGGATTGCCAAGCTACTGAGGCTGCATAGCTGGGCCCTGCCGGTAGTCTACCGGTGGTGGAACGAAAGCCGGAGGTTCCCTCGCCACACCAAAGAAGAGGCTAGCAAGCGAGGACGATACACCCAAGGACTCGAGGGCACCCCAGCAGCCAACGGAGATTCCTGGGTAATAGCTTCTAGCTACTAGTAGCTTCTTGTTCCTAGTAGTATGGCCAGGAGCCCCTAGTAGCGTCCTTGCTCCTAGTAGCGATGCCAGGAGCCCCTAGTAGCTTCTTGCTCCTAGCAACAATCGCAAGAGTGATGTTATATCAAGCTTTTGTGTCTCGCTCCAAAAGGTGTTTTTCACTGTGCTTTCCCTTGAATCTTGCCAACAAAGCCACCCCAGCAGCATGCGAAGATCATTGTCCAAAAGGCGAACAGAAGTAACAGTACTGCCGTCCAAACAGCATTCCAGGATTTGACGCGGCAATTTTGCCACCACCTTAGGATACATTGGTGACTAAAAACATGAAAAACATCATAAAACCATGCTCGCCCCGACTACGCCAGAAAAAAAGAGACTTGTGCCAACCAACATGTGTCCATACAATTCCAATCCACATGGCTAAGCTACCCGATGCCAAGAAAGCAAAACACGATGCTAGCAACGAAGAAGAACACGTAAATGCAGAAGCCAAAGTCATAGAGAACAATCCCGTTTGCCTTTCACGGCACAGCAGCATGCACAGGAAAATGATGCAAACTATCATATGTATGTATATATACATGTATTTATATATATATATATGTGTCCCTTTATGACGTTATGATTCATGATTGTCCCTATACATGAATACATCTCAATATGTCGTTTCCCTAAAATCTAGGAACCAATCACAAGTGCGAGCGCTTCTTCAGCGAAGCTCCCCCCCGCCCTCAGGCGTGGGGAGCTTCCTTGCAGTTACTGGAAGCTACAGTAACTAGTGCGTAGTAGCGAGCAGACTTTTAAAAAAGGGGATCGTGCAAACGGTTCTCTATTGACGGAACCGCGGTTGCATCGACTGGCGTCCGCCTGTTGGAGCACAGCTCGTGCACCTTGCTGTGGACCGGAGCGAATTGCTGCATCCAGGCGCCACTGCAAGTAAAGGGAAAATATGAAGTTGATCCTAAGTCTTCATAGTCTTCGGAGAAGAAAAGGAACCCGAAAAGCCTGAAAAGAAGCTGTGGTGGCTTCATTCCTTGTTTGCATGCCTGAGGTTGCTTCAATGCTATCGCTAGGGCACCATAGGCGAAGGTCGAGACGTCCTTTGCAAGAAATCAGGCAATGTTGCTTAGTGACTTAGTGATGAGAACAGCTTGCTTCCAGAAATCACCTTGCAATCTCGTGCTTGGGGATCTGTCAAAGTCGAATAGGCCTTGGAATGGCTAGTGGGCGCTTGCTCAAGAGCCACGCAAAATGAGCTTCAAAAGCGCTTAGGAAAAGCGAAAGCACCCAACTCAACAAGTGGAGATTTCGGGACAAGTCATGTGAGGGATCTCGCTGTGACGCGGCAAGTTGCGTTTGGAATAGGACCAAGCAACAATTATATAGACCAAACAAGGCCTTGCTGATTGTATTGAATTTTGTCTGGTTGGTTGTGCAGCCCTTTGCGGGATTTGTGCGGCTATATTTCTAGCATAAAACGACCTTGGCTTTGCCATGACTGGATAGGCTGGATAGGTCGGATAGGTGACCCGGTTTGGTTTGTGTCAATTGAGAAACTTGGAGTCAGAACTCGTTGGGCCAGTCTTGGCTTCATCGTGGCTTGCTTGCTAGGCTAGAATGGTCAACAGAAAGAAAGAAATGCAAAACAAGAAGAGCAGAAAACAATCAAGCAGCACAGAATCGTGAACAGAAGCAAGCAAAAAAAGCAGAAAAGACATTCAAGCCAAAGGATGGAGAAAAAATAGAGAAGTGAAGCAAGGGGAAGCAGGCAAATTCGCTTGTCTCAACAAGTTGCCAAGGCAGCAGCAGGGCAATTCAATATAGCAGCCTCAGTGCTCACCAAGCTTTCAAAATGGTGGCTTGAGTGGATCAAAAGCAAGCCATTTGCATTTGAAGCCATCCCAACTATTCTGGCTCCGGCCAGAATAGTGCGATACTACCAGCACCCCTCAGAGCCCAGCAATGATGACGAAACAGCCCAACGGCCTGCTGGTGACTTGAGCAATCGGACGGCAGCAAGACCTAAGCTGCTTTAGCCGTGCTGAAACCTATTTGATTGTCTTCCATGTGCCCTAGCAACTGAGCTCTCACTGGGCTGGCGACTCACAGCCACGCCCAAGAAGATTGCAAAGGTCCACACAACCACGGCCACAGGATTCACACGCGTTCCCACATCCATCGCAGGCTCCTCACAAACAAACTAGGTCAGTTCTGCCGATACTGTTCTAGGACCCCATTCAACGAGCGTTTTCATCACGGTGCCTGAGCACAGCCTTTGTCCCGCTTCGAAGCAATAGAACATGGCGCTCCGGCAAGGGAATCTAAGGAGCTGGATGTGAAACGTGACAGGGGCAACCACTGGCCAAAGGTGGCTTTGGATCCAACCAAGACACAAGTACTCAGCAGCGTAACCTTGCTCAAAAATGTCTCAATTGGAGGTGCCACAAGTGTAGAATTTCGGAATTCAGCTTGCAAGTCTGCCAGCTTTGTTTGTGAACCTTAAGTTGAGCAGCTACTTCTGCGGGGTGACTGGCGCGTTGCAGCCACATCGATCCCATTTTAGCATAAGCAACAAAATAGGATGCAAACATTCTGTCACAGCTCGGCATCGCCTCCTGGACATCCTTTCTGATGCGCTTGGGCAAGGCAGGGGCCTTAGAAGAAAACGCAATTGAAGCTGCTCTTGGGCGGCTCGTGTTGTCAAACTTGCACAAGCAGACTGAGATACCAAACCGCACCACAAGCACAAACCATTGCTCCCAGAGCTCCCAGAGCTCCCAAACTAAGCAACTAAGCAGGTGCTCTTCGGTGTTTTGATGCATTTCAAGATTGTTACTTGCCTCACTCAATCTGGTTGGATAGGCATGCATTGCAATGGTGAGGCTAATCAGCTAATCAGAACTGCAGAAGAGCCTGAACTATTGAGTCTGTCTCTTTCTCTCTTGTCCTTACCGTCTTCCAGGCAGCACAGCTATGCCAGCTATGCACAAATCAGGGTGCCGGCAGATTCTCTACGGCACCCTGGTGCTCCCACACATTAGAACTGCATAAGCAGCGGCGCGGCAGTGGCAAATGTGATATTGGAAAATGCCGGGTGAAGGGGGGGTATGTATATAGGGCCAAGGTCCGAGGTGCTTCTTGTTACTAGTAGTAAGAACGCTCCTAGTAGCGATGCCAGGAGCCCTAGTAGCGTCCTTGCTCCTAGTAGTAAGGCCAGGAGCCCCTAGTAGCTTCTTGTTACTATATAATGATGTAAAAAGGGCCAAGGTCCGAAGTGCACCAAAAACATCCAAATACTAAAGCTGCACGCGGCAAGCTTGCCGAAGTCACGGTTCATTTTGGTGCTGACTTTAGGTGTGAAACATCCATGCTTCCTAGGCTTTCTGCAAGGAGAAGGCTTCGCCTTTCCTTACATCTACATCGATGCAACCCACAACGAGTAAGAATGTGCTACCTGAAACTGAATTGTGCAACGCCGTCAGCATTGCTCTGAGCAATATTTGCGTCTAAAACCTGAAGCACCCTTCAAAGTCAGAGCACACATGCCAACCCCAATCATGAAGCATCTGCATCCTACCACATCTAGCACTAAATACTTTACTCCGGTGTAAGTCCAAGGGTGCAATTGGTCAAATGGTCAATTTGACTGACTGAGGCTGCGGCACAACATGATGGTTGGACATCCACTTCAAGCGTCTCTTCTCTTTCTGCGCTTTGCTCATTGATGGATCGCTAACCTTGCAACCATGTTGAGGCATACGAGCTCGAAAGTCAAAGGGAATGGGCTGTGACTGCAATTTTGTCCATAATTGAACCCATGCCCAGCAGCAGCCCCACATCAAGCCCACAACTTGTCACTCCCTCCACTTGTCACTTGTCATCGCATTCGTTTGTGGGGTCACATCGACTTGTTCTGAAGATGAGGGCTATGGAAAAGGTGAGTTTGGCATGGCGTGGTACCAGAAGGGGGCCCACCGGCTGCTTCCACACAGCTTGCACAACGCCGCTTGTATTGAGGTGTAGCGATGCAACTGCGCAGGAAAGACTTGACAGAGTCATGTTTGTGTGGATCTGCAGGTCTTAAAACTTAAAGCTTGGCACTGCCAGGAAATTATCTTTTTCGTGGTGGATACTCAACTATGTTTGAATACAAGCACCATTTAGCACCATTTACCTTATGGCATACATACCCTTTGATCCTTGATTTGGAGGACACAGACCTTCTCAACATCAAGCATTGAAATCATTGAGGCAATTTGCACGCAACTCTTTGAGCAAACTAGATTAAAACAGCTCTTTGAGCATCTAAATCTAAATGAAGGTGGCATGATGCTCACAATTAGCAAGTGCCACAGAACCGCCGCAACAAGCTTCACTGGCACAGGTGATTGGACAAGTCACGCAGCTGCGGAATGACTCTTCGATGCGAACCTGCAGAGTGAGGACTCTCCAAAGAACTGGCAGATTGATTCAAATGAACAAAACCCCGCAAAAAAAAAGTAAATATATGTTTGAAAAAAATATACTGTACTATATATATATACAGTCAATATTTGCATTGGGATTCAAGACCCTATCAGGACCTATCACTCAACCCATATGCCTTCCGTGACTTCTCAGTCAAGCTCCATACATCCACCTTCAGCGATCCCTCCTCTGAATCTTTGAGTTTGCCTCCGCCAAATCTGTTTTTTAAAGAAGGCGGGGGCAGGCCGCTAGAGGTAGCTAGTAGTAGCTAGAGGTAGCTAGCATATCTAGGGAAACTTACCTACATTAGAGGTTTCTTCCTTTTCACTCGCACGCTTCCAGAAATGTCTGAAAATTCGGTGACTCGGTGCACATTTGAGGCCAGCACACCGACGTTTGCGCAAAGCGGCCGCCGTCAAAAGAGTGAAATTCCCCGCTCGCTGTGGATCCTTCGACCAGTGTCTCAGTCTCTTTTATAAATATCCAAACTATTTTTTTTCGGAACCCAGTTATCACCAATGCAGCAACGACAGTTGATAGCTGATATAGATTGCAAGCCGTGACTTGTGTTTGCAGCTCGTATGTGCAAGAGCACGGGCACCCGTGGTTTTTGCCAAACATGGCCTGCACTTCTTAACAAACTTTGAAAACTCATTGTGTGTCATTTGCTCAGCCATGCTCAGCCCAGCAGAACAAGTACTTCATGCGCTTTCAGGCGCTCTCTGGGTGACAACAGTGAAAGGCAAGAGAAAGCAAAGTCATACAAGCATAGACCCCAAACAGTTTCAAAACGATTCGTTTAGACCAATATTAGTCAAAAATCGATCTTGGTTCGCCGTACTTTCACCCTAAGAGCAAACTGTTTCATCAATGAATTTTTGTCGGCATTGACCTCCCTATTTGTTCGGCCACACTCCTCTCCAGTAAGCCGGGCCACAGAGACGAGCCACAAAGTTCAGGGGCGTGGCCAAGACAACTACAACACAGAGCCGGGCCACAGAGCCCAGCCACAGAGTTCAGGGGCGCGGCCAAGACAAGGGCAAGAGGAGGAAAAGGCCCGGCCACAGAGCCCAGCACAGAGGACAAGAGGAGGGCAAGAGCCCAGTAAGCCGTCCATAGCACACGAGCGCGCGCTCGCCCTCTTTCTTTCTTTCTTTCTTTCTTTTTTTTTCTTTTCTTTTCTTTTCTTTTCTTTTCTTTCTTTCTTTCTGTCTTTCTTTCTTTCTTTCTTTCTTTCTTTCTGTCTCTCTCTCTCTCTCTCTCTCTTTTTAAGTTTCTCTTTCTCTAAATCTTTCTCCCTGCAGAACGCTGTAAGCGCGCCTTTCTGGAGCGTGAGCGCGGCCACAGAGCCCAGCCACAGAGTTCAGGGCGCGGCCAGTGAGTGTGGCCAGCTCTTTTCTTTCTAAGATAGAACCCCAACAGTAAACTGTTTGGGGAACAAAGCAAAGAAGCAATGAGCTCAAAGAGCCTCTATTCGCGCTAATACATTGAATCATATTGAATCTAGTGCCTACGGCATACAGCAATTGGACCATAGAACGCCGCAAAGCCGAGCGTCATCTTCGGGCAAAACTTCTTGGAGGCTCGAGCTGGCCTTGCCAAGGAACAACACACACTGTCGCTATGTCCGAATCTCTTTGAAGACTTTGACTTGTCATTTCATGTGAGTGTTTGGCCTTTACCGATCTATGAAAATGCTTACATATACTTACATATCAAACAAATTTTGTGGCAAACATGACAGTTGAAGCCCCACCTCTGACGGGAAGTCCCGGCTGCGGTCAAAGTAGGATCTCAAATTTCTCTGCACGGGTAGCCTCAAAATGCTGAAATTGAAATGGCAGCCCCGCAGAACGTTGCTCAATTGCCAGCCTGCCCCCCGAGTTGTCAAAGGTAAGCTGGTGTCGGTGCCTTACAAGTGCAACAATTCTTCTCTGCTCCAGCCTGCCCACAATTTTCTTCCGAGGTAAAATGGCAAAGTGATAATCAAACCGTAAATAAATAAATATATATATATATACACGATATTCCGATATGCAAGAATGACACAAGCGGAAGATTTAGAAAAAAATTAAATCCCACGACCTGTTGACACGCGACTGGCTGGAACAAGAATGCACAGCCAGCTTACCGCGCCTCCACAGCGCGCACATACAGCTGACACCGGCACCGGTGCGCTTTGCCAGCTGACAACACCGCACCAGCACCCAGGACCACAACACCAGCACCAGCACCGACACGCCACTATTTGCAGCAAGAACCCCATAGCTATCTAACAACGTTCGATCTTGCGTGTATAAGTTTCTGTGCACAAAAGTATGCGCCCAAGCAGCTAAAGCCCGTAAGTATCATTGGCCCAACACCAAGCAGTATCCAGCGCGACTATTGATTTTGTAGCATGCTTGAAGCAACGATCTGTAGAACGATAAGGCCGTATGATCTTGCGCGTATAAGTTTGCGCGCGCAAACTCCAAAGCCCGTAGGCTTCACTCGGCCAAGGCAAGGCAGTATCCAGCGCGCGCTAATAGACAAAGAGCGCTCAAGCGACAACACCGTATGATGTTGCGCGCATAAGTTCATGCGGCCCATGACTGCTGGCACTTCACTGTCAGAAGCGGCGGTTGGTCGCCCTTCGCCGCTACAAGCAGCGGATTGTCACCCTTCACTGTCAGAAGCGGCGGTTGTTATCACTTCAATGTCAGAAGCGGGCGCCGAGCACCGCCACGCCACCTCACGGCACCCTGCACCAGCACCCAGCACCGGTACCCAGCACCAAGCACCACCCCCGGCACCCAGCACCCGGCAACCACGCGCCAGCACGGGTGTCACCACCACGTGCACAGCCAGCTCACAGCGCCGGCACCCTGTCTCCACCACGCGCACATCCAGCTCACAGCACCGGCACCCAGCACCAGCAACCTGTCTCCACCACATGCACAGCCAGCTCACAGCGCCGGCACCCAGCACCCAGCACCGGGACCAGCAACCTGTCTCCACCACATGCACAGCCAGCTCACAGCACCAGCACCAGCACCGGCGCCCGCCACCACCACGTCCACATCCAGCTCACAGCACCAGCACCAGCACCGGCACCCGGCACCAGCACCACCAACCTGTCTCCACCACATCACAGCCAGCTCACAGCACCCGGCGCCCGGCACCCAGCACCGGCACCCGGCACCCAGCACCAGCAACCTGTCTCGAAAGCGCGCACGGGCAACTCATTGCTATTTGAAGTAAGAACCCCATAGCTTCGCTATCTGGAGAAATATATATATATATACTACTGTCTAATGACTTAGGCCAACGTGATGCAAGTGACATACCAATCTGGCTACCCCCAGGGCTAAGTCATGTGCCCTGACATATCGAGCAAAAAAATGTCTGGGTTGGGAAACCTGGTGTCATAGGACCTGTGGATACCTCCTCGACAAAAAATGTAAAAAAACAGCTAAATAATGCTAGATACCACTGCCTGGCACCCTGGTGACACAGTGGTGACATAGGGTGCGACTATGTGTTGCTTCCTTGAATACCTCATACGTATTTCTATGAATATCATGGTTGTGGCCTGATGACATAGGCCTTAAGAGGAAATGCCAATGTTGGATCAATCCTGATGACATAGGCTTTTGGAATTGGCGTGTATGTCCGACAAGTCCTAAGTTACTAGTCAGTAGTATATATATATATATTTTTGTATATATACACACGCATATGTAATTGGTGGGCGTAGTGGATGAAATCCAGATCGTTTTTCTGGGTTGCATCCATTTTCCGTCTGTGTGGAAGCGCGCATCGCCGCTTGCCATCATTGTTTTCAGCGACTCCTACGCAGTTTGACTCCATAACCCCAATACATGACCCCCAACATGTTGGAACCATAACTTCTTGAACGACTCGGACAAGGCTTGCAACCTCTCCTTTGTGGAGACATCCCTGCCAAGGCTCCACACCTGCAAGGGTTCGAGCAGTCTGCAGGTTGAGACTGAGCTGTGGCTTGCCAAACAAACGGGGGGTCAGTTTGGTCAACTCGCTGCTCAGGGCTGCACTGAGCAAGATGCGTGTGGTGGGGAGTGCGGAGAACGAAGCTCAGCGTGCTCACGAAAGCGATCAAAGTAGCACCGGTCCAATCTCGAAACTTCCTGCAGCAAACACGCGGATTGCTCGTTCTTGTCACACTCTCACTCTCACTCACTCTCACTCTCACTCTCACTCTCACTCACTCCCTCCCTCGCTCGCTCGCTCGCTCACTGGCTGACACGCTCACACTCACAGTCACACTCACACTCACTCACTCTCACTCTCACACTCTGACACTCTCACACTCTCACACTCTCTCTCTCTCTCACTCACTCACTCACTCACTCACTCTCACTCACTCTCACTCACTCACTCACTCCTCAGTCACTCACTCACTCACTCTCTCACTCTCACACTCTCACTCTCACACTCACACTCACACTCACACACTCACACACTCACACACTCACTCACTCACTCACTCACTCACTCACCCACCCACCCACCCACTCACTCACTCACTCACTCACTCACTCGCTCACACTCACACTCACACTCACACTCGCACTGACTCTTTCACTCACTCACTCACTCACTCACTCACTCACACACACTTAGGATAGGGTGTACTGAACTGAAAGCGGTGCCACACGCCGGCCTAGGGTTCCATTTCCTAAGAGAACCAGTAAGGACCATCGAATCCTGGAGGTCTTAAAAGGAAAGGAGGCCAAAAGCGTAAGGTCGAAGACGACGAACAGGGCGAAATGACGACGATCGCTCAAGTCTGCAGCAAGTGAGGTTCTGGGCTTAGCCTCGTGCCATTCCGTTTGAAAAAGGCAGGTACGTAGTTCTGGCGTCCCAGAACTATATCACTGTGCGACAGATGCGTCTTCGTTGGCTGGAGACATCTGAAGCACACTCCAGCCCCCTGCTACACAAGGAAAACAACTGTGAAGCTAAAACAATCCGAAAGGATCCCTATGATTCCAAGGGTTACACACACACACTCACTCACTCACTCACTCACTCTCTCTCTCTCTCTCTGTGTCTCTCTCTCTCTCTCACAGTCCGAGGCCTGATTTTGGAAAGCAAGCCTGAGGAAAGTCTCTTGAGCAATGCAAAGTCCGAAGTGGTAAAAAGATGCAAAAGCGTGAGCCAAGCTACTGGTGTCTACCATTCCATCCTTGCTTTCTCTCGACCATCTCATCGCTAGGGGCAGTTGTCAACAAAGACCTGGAAAGGCAATTGAAGGCAACCATGCATGCACCAATCCAGGAAAGGAATGAGTCTGACTTGAGACATGCAATTATGAGTGTGCCATTCATCAACTGAGCGCTGTGCGGACAGCTCCAAGTGGACTTGTGATTGAACTCGGGAGAAGCTTCGTGCCTTAAAAGTGCTGCCACTATGCCCGCAAGATTCAATCTTCCATGCACAAAGCCCACTTGCGCATGACATCCACGGGCTCTTGTGCACACATCCATAAACCATATACAAAGCACAAGACAAGGCACCGTGGGCCTAGGATTTCCTCACGTGGACGAAGAGGACTTCCAGATCGGGGAGGCAATCGAGGGATCGGAGGCCAAAGGTTGTCCTTCGGGCTCTCAACGTTCGAGACACCCGGTAAAGGCTCCAACCGCCACAGTGGCAAAATGCGCACAACGCCATCTCGTCCATCTCCACTTCTCCTCACTTCGGGCTTCTTTTCAGCACTTCGCGCACCAATATCTGGTTCGCGAGGTCGATCGAAGTACGACCGAACAGGAGCCGGGTTCAGAATGACACCCTGCAAATTCTGGAAGTTACTCCAAACAACGTCATGGTGGCTATTCCATCCTTGCTCCCTGGCTTCATTTGGCTGGAGGACTTGGGGGAAATCCGTCTGTGTCATAGTTGACACCATGGATTCCGCGGTCTCCTCTGGCTGTAGCAGCTGCCAGAATCTGGCTGGTTGCGTCATCCAGGGCTTGTCCCGCGACAATCGCATTGAGCGCCTCTTGATCACATTCTCTCCTGACATCGATGTGATCGACTTCTCCTGTCCTATCTCTTCTCCACTTTTTGGCGATCCTCGCAAACCAGGGCCGGTGGGAGAGTAGACCGAACTTGCCAACCTCTCAGCTTCTCTCTGCTCAGCTGGAATTGGATCAGGCTCCAAACGCCAAGTTGGCTTCTGAACTTGGAGGTTGGCATCTGGAGGCAGCAGTTCTCTATGGTCAAGCCATCTATCAAAGTAGCACCGGCAGTTTTGGCTCATCTCATCGTTATTATACGCAAGCTGATGGCGTGGATTCCACTGATTTCCCAGTGTTTGCCAATCCGGGTTCCAAGTGCTTCGCTTTGCTGCCTCAGCAAAGGTCTCCAGCAGCTCCACTTCACGCTCGATGGCCTCAGAAGGTCTTGGCCGTGGTGACAAGCCCGCCGTCAGCTTCACCCGCTCAGCTCCGGGGACTGTCGAGAGTGGCGCCAAAACGCCACTGGTGTCACCACTTGCGCTGCCCACTTGCACTGCATCCGCCATGTCCACTGCAGGACTCTCCTGCAAGTGGGGTGACATGGTTGAAGTCATGGCTGAAGTCGTTGGGCTTTGAGCTTCGAGAGCTCCTCTCTCCGCTCTTGTGGTCGCCTCCTCCAGTTGGCGACGCAGTGCTTGGTTGGCAGAAAGATCATGGTTTGCGGCATCTCCCATCTGAGCTTGGACTTGGGCAGCTGGCCCTTGATCTGAAGGCGTCGTAGGCGGGCACGGTTGCAAAATCAAAGGACTGGCCGCTGGATTGAGCCCTATACCCCAAAGGTTTCCTCGATCGCACCACAAGTTCATTTTTGCACAAGCGATGCGAGAAGCTCAAAGCAAATCCCCTCCGAAGTTGCTTTCTTTGAGCAAGCATGCTGAGCGCCACCCTGTAGGCATCTACAGCTCAAGCAAACTGTACATGCACCTCCACCAAGAATGCTATGAAGCATCGTATTTACAACTTGCAGGTAAGGCTTGCGCCCACTGAGCAGCCAAAAATGGAGCATGGATGAGGACATGTGTGTGTGGAGGTTATATCTGCACACACTGGATCACGCATAGAATGCGTCACAATTTTGGCTGCACAACCTGCACATTAAGCTTTACTTCTCCACCTGCATGCGAAGAGCAAAGGCATACGAACAAGGCATGCACAGGCCTAAAGGTGCTTGGAAACATGCCACATGTCCAAGTAGTAGTTGCAGTGCCAAGCAATGCTATGAAAACCGACAAATGTTGTGCAGTTGTGCATTGCCATGATTCAGCGAGCAGTTTCCAAGGTTCAACGAACGTGGCAATGTCAGGCAATAAATGCCATACTACGTGGCTCTGATGCTTGTGGCACACCACACGACACATCCCGTGACGAATAAAGAACAGCTCACACACACCATTTCACCTGGGACCTGATGCTAATGAGGTCAGAGCCAGGCATTGAACACATAAAAAGCAGCCGCTCGGCAAACTTGGCTTCCCTTGTCGCGGTGTGCTGCACTGTTCAAGCCACATCGTCACCGAATGGCCCCATGCGAGGAGTCTGCAGGGCGCACCACTGGTGCAGCCCGCCTCAGTTGACAGACGAAGTCCGATCACCAAAAACTGAGAGCTTTATGAACCAACTGCTGCAGCCAAGGGCACACCAATTCAAAAATGTGCTTTTGAGCTTTAAGTATGCTCTGCAGCGTTCCACTGATGATACCTGAGTACACACGTCCAACTCACCTGATCTGCTCTGGGCAGACTGCTTCTATGTCCCTCCCCTCATCTTGTGTTTGGTTGTGGTTTGCTGCTGGGGTGTTGATGGGCTGCGAAGGAAGCACAGTCAAGGGTTTTGTGAAACACAAAGACAAAGCAAATGCAAAACGATAAAATCCGAACAATTGTAGTGGTACAAGCTATTAAACAGCTACGAGCCTACGGGCCTACTCAAATGTGCTGCTGGGCAACAGGGGCGTGTGCTCTGCACCTCATCTCGCAGCAGCTGGACTTGTGCTCCCGACTGCTTCCGGATCTGATTCAGAACAAAGCCTGATGAGTTGCACCAGAATACGCTAAATATAGTTGCACAGACGCTTGCCATTATTGCAGTTCCTGGGTTTAATCAGTTTAATCCACAGAATTCCTGAAATCCGCATAACACAAGTCAGTGGATGGTAGTTTGGACCGTTGGGGGAATCTAGTGGCCGCGCCTTGCTTGCCTGTCACCATTCCGGCCGCTTCAGATCTTACAAACACAATGACGTCAGCTTGCGCATCCTGCCAATCGACCTGCATGGCAGTCCTTGGATTCGATGCAAGCACACCGTCACATGCCGGCGCGTCCATCTGTGCGAAGGAGGTTGCAAAGTGCTCTCACACTGCCAGGCAAGTCTCGACAATTGCTCATGGACAATCTGCTGAGCAACCTTGCACTGCCTTGGCTGTCTGCGCATGCCTTGTTAAAGGCATTTGCTCTGGCAATCTCTCAGCAGCCGAAACTGCGCCTGTGAAGTTCAGCGAAGGTGCTTGTAATTCCCAATCACAATTACACGGCGATCCTGTGAACCATTTCTTTTCGTCATCCACACCTGAAGGCAGGCACACAATTGTGCAGGTTAGCAGGACACGAGTGGAATAGTCAGAAGCCATGCACAAAGTGCCAGCCTTGCATCCGCTCTTTGACGCTGTCTTCTGGATTCGGGATCCATTCTTTCCCAGGATGAAGCCGGCAAAGCGATCTGGAATCACAAGGTGAACCTGCCACCAAGCCAACTCTATCTGCAATCCGCAACAGCATCCGCGCTTTCGTCATTGCAACATAAGACACCCACGGTGCGGACCTGCATGTAGTCCGGCTGCAATTCCACAGGCGGTTGCACGTCACTGAGTTTGAGCGCCACCTCCACTGCAAAGGGTGTCCAGACTCCAGGTGATGCCACTCCTCAAACCAAGGCGATAGCTGTGGGAACTCAAAGGCAGGTTTGAGCATGTTGGGTTTCCTCAGCCTCTGGATGTCCAGAGCTTTTGGGTCTGTTCAGCAGTGTCCTTCAGCATCAAATGGCCCAGGCAAGGGCGATGGACAAGGCAACGGAGATTCGCAAGGGAATGGAGAACCTCAGCTCACATCATGTGACCATGTCTATCTTTCTTCTTGTTCTCCCTCCCACCCTCCCTCCCTACTCCCTCACTCGCTCTCTCTCTCTCTCTCTGCCTTGGCAATTCTAGCAAGCGGTGGCCTGTGGATCGCATCTTGCAGGATAGTTGCATGGAAAGGGGGAGTCACAAGGAGAAGCATCCACCTCTTCAAACGCTGGAGATGAGGCCTCGCACCATGAAGAATCACCGACATTTGTCCACAGTCCACTTCAACAAGGGCACTGTTCTGTGCAAAATTATCCATCGATCATTGACTTTTAATCTTGGCCCCCTTCCTTGCACTCTTCCAGCTGACCATTGACTGGAGGTATCGCCTCAGAATCCATAAATAACACTGAAGAATACGCCGAAGTTGCATGTACCTGCTTGAGATAAGACTGCAAAATTCTAGCCAGCTGAGTCACTTCCATGTTCGAGATCCCAGAAGGCGTGACAACAACATCACCTGGACATCGAGGGGCAGCTGCCAAACCCACAGTATATAATTATTCCAAACCCAGTGCCACACACCGGGCCGCCACATAAACAGTTTCCTCGATGCGGGCCGGTCGCTAGTTGACAATGTGCGATGGCGCTTGAGCGGCTGTTCATCCCACTCGTCCTCCTGAAACCATTGGTGATTTAGAAGCTCCGACCTGAGGGGACTGAAATGCTCAGAATTTATTCCGATCTTTTTTGTTTTGCGTTTTTGTTGTAAGCCCGGGGGTAGGCCGCTAGTAGAGGTGAGGTAGGTTGGCTAGGGAGGTGGCTAGTAGTAGCAATCGGTAGCTAGTACCTTACTTAAGCTACTAGTAGTATGGACGCAGGATAGCTCACGCTCGCACTAATCATTTGGTTTCTAGATTTTTTTGTTTAGGGAAACTTAACTGGACTATGGGTATACACATATATATATATATATATTAGATCTTTCTTGTAAGAGGATGCATGGCAAGCTGAGATGCAAATTTCTTCTTTGCGCCGGCTGCAACTGCAGTAAGCCACATAGCACTGCCTCGACAACTGCAAATAAAGGCAAAGCCATTTGTGCTCAATTACCTTCTACTAGTAACAAGAGCCACGCTAGTAGTAACAGGTGCCTTACTAGTAGTAACAAGGTTTGCTATTAGAAACAAGTGCCTTACTACTAGAAACAAGAAGCTACTAGTAACAAGTGCCACGCTACTAGTAACAGGTGCCTTACTACTAGTAACAAGAAGCTATTAGTAACAAGTGCCTTACTAGTAGTAACAAGAAGCTACTAGAAACAAGTGCCTTACTAGTAGTAACAAGAAGCTACTAGAAACAAGTGCC